TGGTTGCTTGGTTCTTTGATGATAGGGCCTTTACAGGAAAACCCTCTTGTATGCAAGTAACAACTCAAAGATGCGTAGTGGGTTCATTTAAATGTGTCACTTTTTCTTCATGTGAAGTCTATTTTAGGACCATTAAGACTTTTGAATTATGACATTATTTTCATGAAAAAGATGCACATTTTCCCCAAGTTACGTCTGGTGTTTTATGTTTTTTCAGAATTAACAGTTAAACAGTTCATTTAGCCACATAAGGTCACTATATATTTATAGTGCAATAAGAATTGGGGGATTTAATTGTCATGAGAATACTGTCATAATGCAAAAAATATTAATGGTCAAGAATAAGCTTTGTTTTCATTTCATTTCATTTAAATAAAATAATACAATAATAAAATAAAATAAAATAATTTTGGAGTAAGGTTTTTAAGCAAGCTCTTCAGTTTTCATGAATTTTGTCAACTCAGCTGTAGCACACCAGAATTATTATTAATAATTCTATTCAAACTATTAAAATAATTTTTGTTCATTTAAATAAAATAAAATGAAAATCGAAATAAAAATTAATTCTTTCAAATATAAAAATGTAAGTAATTTTAAGTTGAAGCACTAAAAAAAACTAAAACTAAAAATTTAAACTGAAATAAAAATAAATAGTAATATTTAAAAAAAAAAAAGCAAAAACTAAAAACGACAAAAACACGTAACAAAATGCAAAAATTAAACTGAAATCGAAAACTGAAAATATAAAAATGAAAACTAACTTGAAATATTAATAAAAACTATTATAGTATTTAAATTATATATAAATTACTAGCATATTGAAGACCTCAAAGCATGGACTATGAGGTATTGGAAATCGACACCTGCCCTTTTTCATACACACATTTTGCAGGTACGATCTGAGGTCACAAAGGATGTTCTACTATACAGGACAGACCCAGTATGCCTGTCTGAGCAGCACTAGCCACCCATCACTATCCCAAGTCACAAGATCTCTGGTTAAATGTAAGTCCTGTCATGTGAGCAGCCCAGTTTGGGTGAATTTACCCCATCCTGTTTATCTTCAGTAATCCTGTTAATCCCATGCCTGTCCTGCACTGTTTAATCATACACACACACACATACACACGAGACCCAACACATTCATAGACACAACTTTTGATGAGACACCCGTTACGCCACAAAAAAAACCAAACTTTGTTAACATTCCAGAGTTATGCAACAATCAAGACTTGCTTACGAGAGACTAAATTCCCAGGCATGTTTCAGTTTTAGATGTTATTATGACTTGTGTACTGAGTGAACAGATGCTGTATTCACTCGAATACCTACTGTCACCTTCCTGATGGAATGCCTCTCGCTAATTATTAATCTCTATAACTGAGAGGAATCAATATTAAATACTGGTAGAAGTTTAAAACCGTCAGAAAGATTTCAAAGTTACTGGTGTGAAACCACTGTATTGCATTTTAGCCACATAAGGTCACTATAGTGTGTTTTAGAAAGAGAACGTAATACTGATATTTCTAAATAGATATCAAGTTTTCAATAATCTGTTGTTTAATTGCGATTCTCATTTTGGTGTAACACTCTATTGCACAGTAAAAAACCTTATAATGAAAATAATTATTTTAATTTAATCAGCACAAATTAAAGACAGTACAATAAATACTACCACAATTTATACATTTATACATTTAAATAACATATAAATTGCCCTAAGTAAGATATTTTTTTTGCATATAGTAATAAAAACACTGGTAGAAGTTTAAAACCGTCAGAAAGATTTCAAAGTTACTGGTGTGAAACCACTGTATTGCATTTAAGCCATAAAGCATGCTTTCACAAAAACATTTCAACTCAAAATCAAAAGAAAACAAAATTTTATAAATTTTTCTAGTATCAAATTATGATAATGAGATGTATTCTTTATGCAAATTTTTTTTGGCATTGTGATATTAATTTAAGCCATATTTGAAATCACAAAAATAATTTTAACTCAAAATAAAATGAAAACAATAAACATTTATTTTTATTATTAATTTGTCGATTATAAAATTATTGATAAAAAAGTATTCTTTATGCTTAATTTTCTAATGCAAAATATAAAATGTATTGGCATTGTGATATATATACAGTATATATATATATATATATATAGCATAACAATGCATATGAGATTTTATTTCATTAATTGATGTGACAGTATGCTCATGATAATTAATGAATCAAATGAATCAAACAATGAATCAAAAAATCTTAAATGGTCTTAATTTAGTTTTGAACGAAACCGTTTTTAATTTTCCTTTCATTTCATGCATGTTTTAACAACCACATAAAAGACACACCACCAACTTCTGCATGAGATTTTATTACGAGGCAGATTTCAACATTACCTCTGGAAATGAGAATTCCACAGTGAAAATGTGCCTTTAGTACCAGAACACCACTTTGCATAATATAAACATTTTATTAATCACAAAGTTCTGGCAGACACCAAGTGTTTTAGTGTTGTGCGCAAATGGAGTCATGACAATGTTTATAGTAAAGTGAGTGTGTTGATCATTTTCATGAGCATGTATTGTGTATGAAATCTTGGCGAGGAATACACATTACATATCATGCATAGTTGATATACTCCGCGTTCTGACAGTACTTCCACGTCAATAACAACAGCAAATTTTGTGGTGATATAGAAATTACAACTTCCACAAACATTGGTAAGTGCACATCTTTAATTTAGTGACAAGTGCAAACCATAGACTGTAGGTACAAACACCACAAATTGGTCCTGTAATTTTTTTGTTTGCATTCTCATAGCTTGAGATGGATTTTTGACAAATGTTAGTGTCTAGTCTGTGAAAGTGTGGTATTTATTCCTGCTATTGGACTGCATTTCAATGGTGGTGAATATGCAATGTTCGTCCCTTCAATTAGAACAGACAGCAGCAGCTGAATCATGCACAAAACAAATGGGGTCACCAGATGCCAAAACCGTCCAACACTGAAAGGAAAGCCAGTTCAGAGGTCATTCACAAAATACATCTCGCCACATAAGGGTGAGACCAGCAACTTGCATCTATTTCTGACATGCTGTGGTGTTTTGAGTCCCTGGATACGAGACCAACAGTAAAATGTGATCAGTTAAAGGGGTCATATGATGCGATTTCAAGTTTTCCTTTCTCTTTGGAGTGTTACAAGCTGATTGTGCATAGATAAGATCCCTGAAGTTGGAAAGACTAAAGTCTCAAAACCAAAGAGATATACTTTATCAAAGTTAAGACTCTGCCACGCCCCCCTAAAACGGCTCGTTCTAACACGCCCCCACATATCTAGGTCACTATGTGGAAATATTAGCATAATGCCGCCCAAATGTGCACGCAAAGAAAGAAGGCGTGGTTTCAGTAACCGCAGTTAGTGTTGAAGCAGCCATGTCAGGGAGACGCTGTGTGTTTCTAGGCGAAAGCAAAAGCACTTTATTTGGCCTTCCGAAAGTAGATGCATTTAGGAATCTTTAAGATTACTTACAACAGAACAGCAATGCATTTTATGGACGACCGTTTCGTGAACCTAGGAGAGGAGGTAATTCTGACTTTGCTATGACAATCTGGCGCTTCTGGATCAGCTACTGTTTTGTTATTAGTTTAAGTATTTGCTATTGACTGTTCAAATGCGGAGTTTTGCGCATCGTGTGTGTGTGTGAGAGAGAGAGCGTGCGAGAGAGAGAGAGAGCGAGCGAGAGAGAGAGCGCGCGAGAGAGAGAGAGAAAGAGAGAAAGAGAGCGAGAGAGAGTGAGAGAGAGAGAAAGAGAGAGAGCGCGAGAGAGAGAGAGAAAGGGAGAGAGAGCGCGAGAGAGAGAGAGAAAGGGAGAGAGAGCGCGAGAGAGAGAGAGAAAGGGAGAGAGAGCGCGAGAGAGAGAGAGAAAGGGAGAGAGAGCGCGAGAGAGAGAGAGAAAGAGAGAGAGAGAGAGAGAGAGACACATCACAGTGGAGTCAGCTGTCTTAACCATGGGACCTACAATAATGTACAGTATTTGAAAAATAATGTGTTTTTTGAACATTAAAGTATGTCAACATATTCTGTTACACCAAATACACAAAATAATGATCTTTAAAAAAGCATCATATGACCCCTTTAAGACAGGCAGACCAACACGCAGCCAGAGAGACACACACATGAAATATGCAAATATCCACCATTTTCAGTTTCAACTTTGACAATACAATGCATATGGATTAGTAAAAACTAAAATGTAAACTCATGTTATTCTTGATAATGTACTTCAGACCAGAAAACATTATTTGACTATTAACTAAGGCTACTAAGGTTAACTGACTAATTAAATGTTTAATGGCATCTGTTAAACAAATGTAATAGCAAAACTGCTTAATTCTATAAGGTTCATTTTCAGAACAAGAGCAGGTCCACAGGTATCCAAATTCAATACAAACAATCCCCACATCTGGGCTTTTAACAGCATTTTTTTTTCCATAAATGAAACACAGATGGTACTTTTAACAAAAGTAAAAATATTAACAATTCGTAAGGCAGAATGTACTTATTGGCAAAGTTCAACTAGGCTGAAATTTCTCCCGGGCACTGTTAATAA